TTAAATATTTTATTTATTATTTTTATTTTATGTGTATGTGTGTATTGCCTGCATGTAGGTAAGTGCACTCGTGTCGTGCAATGCCCATGGAGGACAGAAGAGGCTGTCGGATCCCCTGGAACTGGAGTTACAGACAGTTGTACCCAGCTCTTCTGCAAGAACAGTCAGTGTTCTTAACCGCTGAGCCATCTCTCCAGCCCCCAATCCTGTAAAACCTTGATCCAGAGGCGATATTAAATGGATAAGTAAAAAGAAGAGAAAAAGTTTTAGCTGGTTTTTTTTTTTAAGTATTTTATGATCTGCTCATTGATATGTGTTCTGGTACTGGTACTATTTACATATTTAATATAAAGGAAAGCTTGTAAATCCAGGAAGGGAAAAGGGTCATAAACTCTTTCAACAAACATGAAATCTTAAAAAGTGCATAGACCTGAGTCCTGTTTGAACTATTAGCAGGGACACAGCTGTTATTTTAGAAATATGTGACTGTCACGCAAGTGTATTAAGGTGAGTGTCTTAATTAAACTGAATCTGACAGGAATTCATCACAGTGAGAGCCTCTTCAGGTATGTGTGTGCTGTTAATAGAAAAGGTCCCTTATAGCTTTGACAGGGTGACCACTCAGCAAGGCTGTAGAACACACTGGCAATTATGAGGTTTACTCCATCAGTTCTTTCTGGAATCAATATATTGTAATTTTACAAATAATGTGGCTTTCAAAGTCACAAAAACCAGAAAAACCAAGAAGTATCAAAATTACTTTTGGAGTCCTTAAACTATCCATGGGTTTATATAAGCAAATATCCATCATTCTACACACACACACACACACACACACACACACACACACACACATGCTATGCATAATAATATATAGCCTTGGTTTTCTGTTTTGTTTTGTTTTGGCTTTTTTGTGGGGGCAGGGTGTTGGGATAGGGTCTCTCTGTAGCTCCAGCTGGCCTGGATACTAGTTCACATGCTTGTGAGTCAGTAAAGACTCATATCCCATGTTGAGTTGATTATTTCAATAATGATAAAAACAATCTTAGAAGTAAAACTGTCATTCTAGTAAGTGAAAGGTCACAAGCTATGTCCATCATATTTTTCAGGACAGATAGATTTTACTGTGGGGCAAATAGATTAAAATTATTTTGCATGGTATTTGCATTTACATTCTAAAGAAAGGAAACTAGAAAATGCTCTGCAATCCATAATTTGTCCAGATTAGTCTTCATTTGGGGAAAGGAGTTGTGAAATATCTCCAAAGGCATTTATTTATCAACTAAAAGCCCTCTCAAAAGAGAACTATTGGACAACAGTGGTGTGTGGTAGTGAAAAAGCTCCCTCTGTTTTAGGAATAGCTTTTAAAATACTGAAATGACTGTTTACTCAGCAAAGTTAAGAATTAAACTTGTCAATTTTAACCTTGCTGTTACATCTGAAATATACTTGTGTGATAATCTGGCTAAAAAGAATCAACTATGTGTCAGCTACTCCATTAAATTGTTTTTAGTGAATTTTCTCACTTAATCGTTATAATTTCATAGATAGCTATTATTCTAACACCAACTTGGTGATGAAAAAGAAAACTGAAGCCAAGAAAATTTAATTCAGACATGTGGCAACATATCTAACAATAGTAGAGCCAGAATTCAAGTCTAGGCAATCTCTCTAATTATCATACTATATTATTTTAATTAACAAATTTATATTTAGCATCTATCACCTGTCAGGCCTGTGGGCACTCGGGATATAATGTGCATAAGAGAGGCAAAACTCTGCCCTCATGGGGTTTATACAAAAAGAAAAAGACTGATTCTGGAAAGAAATGCAAACTTATGATCTGTGTGGTAGCATAACTATATACAGAGAAAAGCTATGAAGTTTGGATGCATAATTATAAGAACAGTTACAAACAATGGTCTTCAGACATTGGACAGTGGGCAGCTCAGAGCTGTGACCCCTGAAGGAAAATGAGGTGAGCATACAGTTCACCCTCTCTTCCTATGCATCCTTTCTGGACCCTGATGAAGGTTAAGGAAGGAGGGTACCCAAAGAGAGCAGTCTTCTCACTGATTTGAAGACATATACTTGGGATGTTGAGGAGGGTGAGATAGCATTTGCAGGACAGAGGACAGTGGGGCTGGAAACATTACTTAGAGAAAGTTCTCCGTATCTGCACAGAGATGTCTGTGAGTTCCTGGCTGAACATGAAGTTACATATATGTCGAGTAAGATTTCCCAAGGAAGGGCAAAGAACAAATTCTATCAGGGTTGCCATACTTAGCACATAAACATTATAGGGAATGAGTTAAATTTGAATTTCATATAAAAAAGAACTTTTTTTTAGCATTGGTATGCCTCAATGGTATGTGCTTCACTGGAAATACCAACTACTGGAGAATAAATTGGACAATCACCACATTTGCACCAGCATTCAACTTCTAATTAAACTTCTTGGAAAGACAGTGGACACCTGGAGAATTAAGTCCTTTGGATATCCACTTTGGAAGGACTAAACTACTCTTAGAGTAGAGGTGGGAGACGAACAAAGCCTATAGAGGTGAGATGAGATACCCAAGGTAGAAAGTATCCATAGAAAACAGAAGAAGCCCAAAGACCATGCTCCAGACCTTTCAATATTAAGAAGTCTGGGGGAAAAGATGGAATCATTGAAAAAGTAAGAACTTACCAGGACTATTTGAAGTCGATCAAGAGTATGTGGTATAGGGCTGGAGAGATGGCTCAGTGGTTAAGAGCACTGGCTGCTCTTGCAGAGGACTTGAGTTTGATTTCCAGCACCCACATGGTGGCAAACAACCATCTGTAACTCCAGTTCCAGGGGATCCAATGCCCTCTCTTCTGACCTCTATGAGCATTGCATGACACACTTGTATTTTCATACACACAGGCAATGCATATGTACACATAAAAGAAAAATAATAAATATATATTTT